GGGTTAATTAAAACTACAAGAAAATTTCCTCAATTTTTATTTGTATTAATTAAGAATATACTGCATTTCGTCTTTATTTTGGAGGTTGGCTTTATTTTAAAGGGTATTTTATTTATGAATATAGATACTTTGGAATGCACACTTTTTCGACTTAATGTTTTAAAGTTGTTTCCTGCTGAGAAATGTCCGGAAGTAGCTAACTGCCCAGAGTTTATTTTATATTTAATAATTAATTCTATTTTCTAAGTTATTTCAGCTAGGAATACACAGTATTGCACTTGTATAGTACATTATTTGAATCTGTACATTGATTTTACCAAGCCAAAAAAAATGGCTGCAGGAATGTATTCTGTCCTTAGCATGGATTCCTATGGAAATCACTTTTCACGAAGTCACAACTGCAATGCAAAGTGAGGATTTGCTGTATTAAATGCTATTTTGTGGTGCCACCAACCTCCTGTTGATTTTGGACTTTTAACCCACATATGTGTAACTCAGTCCAAGATTGTCCAGCTTTCAGAATACAGACCGAATGTCAATGTTTGGTCTGATCACAGCATTGCAATGACTAGTTCAACTTGGATCCTTTTCCAAACTAATATTGGAATGACTGGAGTAGTGAAGTGAACTGGTCAGCCATATTGTTTTTATTATGAATGGTGACAGAAGGAGAGAGCTGATAATCAAGCTCCATTACTCCACCAGTCGCACCATAAGTCTAACTGAGTTGTTACGTCTTCTGGAAACATATCTAGTTACCAGACTCCACATATTGCCTCCAGGACTGGAACATAACTCAAACATTTTATGAATGTCTGTCTGAAAAAGCAGAAGAACAACAAGCTGTAGCATAAACAGAGGAACAATCAGAGCCTGAGTCATATAACTTTCACAAACCTAAGGCTCAGCAACCTTACTCATTATGCTTCTTGCCAGTGGAAAACATTTTCCCTGGATAATTTTACATATTTGAGTAGTGAAAGATTCGTGATTCTGGAAATAATCTCAAGAACACTGGAAATTCCAAAATCAGCTGGCCCAGGACAAAACAAAATTCCAAACTAACACCTACTACAAACAACAAATCTGCTCAAGTTGAAAACTAAAAGTTAAAAAGTGACCAAAGTGAACTCACTTGACTAAGCAACTAAGGCTGTATATTGGATCGAGAAAATGGAAAACCATAAAGCTCACCTTCTTCAGTGCTGCCGGGAATAGGGTAAACAACATGTGAAGCATTTGACTTGTCCTCGGTAACAGTACCCTGTTGGAAAGCATTTAAACAATTAAGGCACAGAAAGACAGGCACTCACAGTTAACTCATGGCTTAATAAAAAGAATACTTGAGAAAAGAAAGGGCTAAATGTCTCTCCAGTGAAATAAGGCCAGGCATATCTAAACAAGAACACAGAAAACTGCTAATACAACAAGTAGCACCAGGGAATGGCAGATGAAAAGTTTACAGGATTCTGGGCTGTGTATGTTATCATCCAGGAGACAAGCTGACCTAAAGTATGGCTCATGATCACGAGAATGAAAGAACAATTGGATGGGCTCATTCTGGAGAACTAATAGCAGTACACAACTGAGTCTTTTTAATGCAGCGTTGGGATCTGATACTATTACTGTTACTAGCAATATGGAACATTTCTATCCACTAGATTACTCACAGGTAGCAAAAATAAAAAACTTCACCAATATCTCTGTTCCATTAGCATTGGTAGATCAAGATCTTGGAATGCCATACTGGTGGTTGAAAGTAGACCCACCATCATTACAACCTGCACTCTGGTGCGTCTACGGGCTGGCAGTGAATGGTCATGGAAAGCTTATCTAGACTGAGTTAATCAAGCATCTGTCACCATACTGGGAATACACTGCAGACCACAGAATAACAGTGAATAACAGAATAATCAATTTGAGGTAGGTTGGCTCGCCGAGCTGGTTTGTTGTTCCGCAGACATTTCGTTACCGTGCTTGGTAACATCCTCAGTGCAGCCTCTGATGAAGCGTCGGTGTGTTTTCCCGCCTGGTTTTTAAACTCTGGTGTCTGTTGCCAAGAGGAGGAGGAATACCTCTTCCAAGTGTTCAAGGATAATGGATATCCAAAGAACTGGGTCAGGAGATGCCTACGGGAACAGCATCAGAAAGATTCTACATGCCCCGAAACACTCATCACACTACCCTACATCAGGAACACGTCAGAACTCACCACAAGACTTCTACGACCGCTGGGCATCAGAGTGGCACACAAGCCCACATCAACCCTACGACAAGTGCTCACCCGAACTAAAGACCCACTCCCTGCCATGGACAGGACCAATGTCATCTACAAGATCCCCTGCAGAGACTGCGAGAAACACTACATCGGACAAACAGGAAGGAAACTAACAACAAGAGTACATGAACACCAACTGGCTACAAAAAGGCACAACCAATACTCACTCATCTCAATCCACATGGACAAGGAGAACCACGACTTCCAACTGGGACAACACCAAGATCCTGGAATAGGCTAGGCAGAGACAAGCACGAGAATTCCTGGATGCATGGCACTCCATGAAGCATGCTATTAATAAACACATTGAACTCGACCTGGTATACATTCCACTACGGAGGAAACCTGGAAATGAGGCAGTCCATCACAACGGACCCCAGAGTTTAAAAACCAGGCGGGAAAACTTCATCAGAGGCTGCACTGAGGAGGTCACCAAGCACGGTAACGAAACATCTGCGGAACAACAAACCAGCTCGGTGAGCCAACCAACCTCAACTCCCACAACCCGAGCTACAGATCTACTCCAAAACCTTAGAGAATAATCAATGGTGAGATCTGCAGGCAACCTTGCTCTGCAGGCGACCTAGAGATTTTCAGTAGCAGTAGAATAGTAATAATGGGGGACAAAAATTATACTAAAATAGGCTGAGATAAGGTAAATTTATATGATCAAACGGGCAAGAGGACTTAGAAGCTTCTGTGCCAATTATTTGACCAGGATATAGCATTCCCAACAAGGAAGGATGTAGCATGAGATAGGACTGCAGTACATAGCTGAAGGAAAAGTAAGCTAAAAGTCTCAAAACCTAATGGGATCACATTGTAAATGGGTGAAGAGGAATTCAAAGTGATCCCAGGAAATACATACTTTCTAATACTAAGATTGCACATGCTTATTTAAGATGAATGAAAGGTGTCATATTCTGAAATAGCTGGGAAAACAAGAGTTTTTCTTCAAATATCAAACTGGAGACTTGTGCTGCAATATTTCAACCAGGCTAATTCCAACTCAACCGTCACCAAACAAACATACCTGGTGCCTCTTAATGATGTCTTTCAGTTTACTCAATAACTTGGGTTCAATATCTGAATTTATATAGATATTGGGTCGAGACAAACAGTTGTTCTGCAAAATAACACAAGAATGCTTCAAAATGCTTTTAAAGAAAAAAAGTCAGACACATACAATTCACTTCAGGCAGAAGATAAATTTTACTTTGTGTAATATTCAACTTACCTGAACCAGTGTCTTTTCGATAGTCATAAACATTTCCACATTGCGGTCCATGCGGGAAGGGTTCTGGAAATCAAAGCGTCGCCTAAGAAATAAATTAGAAAGTTTAATTAAGTTAAACTATCAGATGGATGCTATGAGTATGTTTGGAGAATAAATCAGTCAGGCATCACCGGATTACTCCATATAGTACATCTCCCCATCAATAATCCCTGGGACAGTTCAGAAAAACTTGCAGGGAATGACAGCTGCTTGTATTAATCCAATGAGATAGTTGGGATAATGTTCTGTAGACAACCCACATGCAATGTAGGGACATTTCAACAATGCTATGACCCCACTTTTCTATATGTATGATAATACCGTTACAGTAGCACAGCTTGCCAGTAAGGTCTGAAGAAAAAATCTTGCTGTAAAATGTATTTGAAGAGTGACACAATCAAAGAAAACCAACTCACCATCCTTGGTCACTCTTAAATTTGTAAGCAGCAGCTAGAATATGACACAAAGCTCCGCCAGCTTTAAAGTCTAAGAAACACTTCATCTGGAAAAGAGAGGCAGCATCTTAGTACTAGCACCAAATGACAGTCAAATCCAGCTGAAGGTCTTGGTACTTCTGTCTCCAAAAGCTCCCTTAAATATAATTAATCTTGTACAAGTTTCCACAAATATCTTTGTAATGTTTGCAGGAAGCCTATACTGATATAGAAAGGAAGTGTTCTTGCGCAAATGCTGGAGTAATGTGGTTCAAGTGGAAACTTTCAGGAGGTCTTGGGGTTGTGCTGGTGGGATACAGTTCTGTCTACATTTAAACAGTTGTTTTAATTCTGCCCTTGCACAATTTGGCTAATGTTTTGTTTTTCCTCCTTCAAGGAGTGAGATTGCTGACTGGGACAGATAGCTTTAAGAATCAGCAATTTGTATTTGAACTGCAGGAATGTACCTCTTAACCTGAACAGAATGCTTGCACTAAGTACAGTCGACATCTCCTGTGAATCCGCAGGAAGGCCAGAACATTTGCATCTGGAAATATATCATTTAGCTCTCAGAAAAAAAAAATCATTAAAAAGTATTAAAACAGAAATTTCAGTTGGATTGGAGTGAGCAGACAAGCTGTTTCTTGGAAGTGAATACATAATTTACTTTTCTTCTCCCAGGGATTCCTTTCATTCTTTTCAGCTGTCTCCCTCCAGTGGAAACTCAATTATCTGGCCACATTATAGGAGGGATGTGATTGCACTAGACAGGATTCATCAGGATGTTGCCAGGGCTGGAGGATCAGTGATATGTGGGAAGGTTGGATACGATACTGTGGGGTTGTTTTCCTTGAAGCAGTGATTGTTGAGTGGGGACCTAAGAAAGGCAATATAAGATTATAAGGGGCACAGATTATCCGATTGGTAGAGGGGTCAATAACCAGGGGGCATGAATTTAAAGTTTAGAGATGGAAGGCTTAGATTTAAGGAGAAATGTTTTCACCCCCAGGGTTGTGGGGGTTTGGAACTCGCTGCCTGAAAGGGTGGTTGAGTCAGAAACTCTCAAAACATTTAAGCAGTATTTAATCACTTACATCATCATAGCCTCTGGGGCTATGGGCCAAAAGCTGAAAAAATGGGTTTCGTGTAGTCAGATCTTTGTTGACCAGTGCAAACACGATGGGCCGAATAATATCCTTCTGTGTTGGAAACGTCAATGATTCTATCTGGTTGGTAATGGATATCAGAAGATAGTGGAGAGTCTCTGAATCGCCTATCAACAGATGCCTCCAGGGCAGCTGGGTCTTGAACTGTCCCAGAGGTAGAGATACTACCATTGTTCCACAAGATCCTGTTCAACAGGTGTTTTAAATGAATTAGAATCATAGACAGAATCCCTACAGTGTGGAAACAGGCCCTTCAGCCCAACAAGTCCACACCGACCCTTGGAGCAGCCCACCCAGACCCATCCCCTATAACCCATCTAAGCTACACATCCCTGAACACTACGGACAATTTGGCATGGTCAATCTACCTAACCTGCACATCTTTGGACTGTGGGAGGAAAACGGAGTACCTGGAGGAAACCCACACAGACACGGGGGGAATGTGCAAACTCCACACAGACAGTCGCCTGAGGGTGGAATTGAACCCAGGTCCCTGGTGCTGTGAGGCAGCAGTGCTAACCACTGAGCCACCTTGTTAATATGTTCAACTAAATCCATTGCCGTCCTCGAACAGATTCTGCAAACAGTAACTTCCAATTCTCTTTATATCTCCTGATGAGGATTGCAGCAACGGAGGTTGAAAATGTGCCAGTTCTTCAGATGGAGCTGTCTACTCTTTTTACCCTCACCAATCCTGCATTATCCCAGCCAGCCAAATCCCATTCTCCTTAACTACACATTCGCTTTAATATCCCACTCTCCTTACATTCTTGAATATCTCAACCAGTCTGATCCCACTCTCCTTCTCATACAGTACACTCTTTAACATCCCAGCCTGTCTAATCCTGCTCTATCATTTACTCCTCATACTGTCTATGGTCCCACCTAGTGTAATCCCACTCTCCCCTCATTCCCTGCATCTTTTAATATTGCCCTGACAGTACTCCCAGACTCCCCCCCCGACCTCTTCTCACACCCTTTCATACCCCATCCAGTCTAATCTTACTCTCCTCCTCACTCCCTGCACCCTTTCATATCCCACCCAGTCTAATCCTACTCTCCTCTTTCCTCTCTGCAGCCTTCATTGTCCCACCCTCCTACTCACTTGCCACATGCTGCAGTATCTCACAAATCTACTTTCATGCTCACACCAGAAATAGCGGTGGAAGCAGAATCTATGTTAAATTATTAAACTGGAGTGGAGAAATATTTCAAAAAAAAATTTGATGAAGACAGTGGAGAGTAGTGATGTTCATTTAGTGGTTCTTTCCTTCATCAAACTTGCTCTAGTAAAATAATGGACAAATTGTATTACATTGAGATTGAAAATAACAGAATCTCTGCTCTAGGTATGAGACTATCTTTGATCAATTCAACTCGAATGGAGACGCCTTCAAGCCCTGGACAGATCATCACAGAATCATGGTTCTAAATTTGGTCCTGATGCTCTGTACACTTCTAGGGATTCTGGCCATTACAGAAACACTTAGTGTAAATGAGCTGAGCTTGATTTTGAAACATCCAAGTATAATGCTTTCTTTCCTTCTCTGCTTGATCTTAAGCCAGTCATAATTTTGTACACATCAATCAAATCTCCCTTCAATCTCTCTTGCTTTAAAGAGAATAGCTCCAGCCTTTCCAACCCAAGCTTGTAACTATAAAAGCCCCAATTCCTGGAACCAGTCTGGTAAATCTTCTCTGCATCCTAAAGTGTAACTGAAACTAGATGCAATACTTGAAGTGTGACCTATCTAAAGATTTACAGAAGTTCAACATCATTTCTGCTTTTGTACTCAATGCCTCCTCCATTTATGCATCCCAATATCCTACATGCTTGGCTAATTTCCATGCCATTCCACCTGCAAAGATTGCTGCATAAGTATTTCCAGGTCTCTCTGTCCCTGCATACTCTTTCAAATTGTGCAATTAAACAAATTGCCACTCCCAACCTCTTCTGTCAAAATGCATCACCTCAAACGTTTTTATACTAAACTCCATCTGCCACTTGGCTGTCCATTCTGCTCACCTATCAATGTCTTGTTACTGGGAATTCATTTCATTCTCGCTGTTCGCCACTCTTCCAGATTTTGTATTATCGGCAAACCTTGAAATTTTACTTAGTATTTCAAAATTCAATTCATTTATACCTAGCAAAAAAAAAGCAGTGACCCTAGCACCGATGGCTGCAGGATGCCACATCTACCATTCTGTAGTGACCACGATTTGTTTTTCTGCCCTCAAGCTAATCTTTCATTCAAGTTGACAATGACACTTCTATGTCATAAGCCTCAATTTTGCTAACCAGCTGTTTATGTGGTACCTTGTTAAATACTAACTTAAAATCCATATAGACAACATAAACTGCATTCTCTTCATTAGCCTTCTCTGTTACAACATCAAAACATTCAATTAGATTAGTTGAACACAATCTGTCTTTTCCGAGTATGTGCTGGCTCTCCTTAATTCATTCAATCCTCTCAAAGTGCTTGTGGACTTTTTCCGATTATGGATTTCCCCCCATTGATAGGAAATAACCACATGGCCTTGTGTTCTCTCAAGTATAGATGATTAAGAGGGTAATCTAATTGAAGTATTAGCATGATTACAAAATTTCATAAAGTAGATAAAGTGAAACTCTCTTCTCTGGTGGAGTGCTTTCACAACAAGGTTAAAGTTAAGGCCAGGCCATTTGGGGTGAATTCAGCAAGCATTTCTTCTGACAAAGGCAGAAGAGAAATCTGAAACTCTCTCTCAAAAAACTGTTTGAGCCTGGTTCTCCACTGAAGCTTTCAAAACAGAGACTGATAGATTTTTGATGGATAAGCAGATTAAAAGTTAAAGAATCATGGTGGGCGGTGGAATTATGATATAGATCATTATCTAATTGAATGGCAAAACAGACCGAAAAGACTGAATGACCTCCTCCTGTGCCTAATTAAACCAGTGCTAATGGTCACACACACATTTGACAGAGATGGGTTGTGGTACTTACTGGCAATTTGGTAAGAGGTGCATTGCTTACGTGTTTTCCAAACACCTCCTCCTGGAACTGTAACAGCTGGACAACCAGACTGGAAAGAGACTTGTTCGTTGGTGGCTCTGCTTGGATGTACTGTGAGAAAATAGAGTTCACCATCAGACATTTCAGAAACAGTCCACTTGGTGTAATGGCAAAATATTGATTTGATAAATATTCACATTTTAGGGCTGCTTTTCTGAATCTCCTGCCCAATGCACAGCCTTGTCACTGGGAAAATATGTAAGGAAATTTTGCAATGGAATGGACACCAGAGTGCAGTATCAGCATTGGTCTCATAAATTATTCAAATGTTGGAGATGGATGACAGAAAATCTATTTGGGCAGAATGATGAAACAATAAAAGAGGTATTATGCTGCAACTAATCAAATAGGAAGGAGATAGAAGAGCAAACTTAAAGTAAATTACTAAAAGATGCAAGATCTACATCGCAATGGGGACTTTGATTATCTTGAGAGAGAGTCTGGACGAGTAACAGTGCAAATTATAAATGAGGGAGGAATTCCTGAAATACACTCAGGAGACTTTTCTTGCTCAACGTGTTTCCAGCCCAATGAGGAAGGACACATTGCTGGATCTGGATCTGGAGAAGTCGAGTATGTTTCAGTGGGAGAGTGGTTAAGAATCAGTGATCACAATATCACTTTTGGAATAGTTACAAAAAAGAACAAGGAAAAGTGAAGCAAAAAATTCTTCACTAAAGGCTGTTAACTTTGCTAAGTTGAAAAGGGATCTGGACCAGGTGGAATGGAACCAAATATTGGTCAGTAAAATAGCTTTCAACAATGGGAGGCTTTCAAAGAGGACAGGGTTCAAGTGTAGACACATTCCCATGTGGCAAAAGGAAGGACATCTAACACTAAACTGCTTGGGTAGCTAAAGGTTTGGAAGTTAAATTAGACAGAGAAACGAGGCTCAGGAAAATTATGAGTAACATTTATGCCATACAAATGCTAAGGAATGACCATCTCCAATAAGAGAGAATCTAACCATCACCCCATGAATAGAAAGGGTTGAGGGGGCTTTGGGCCAAATGCTGGCAAATGGAACTAGATTAATTTAGGATATCTGGTCGGCATGGACGAGTTGGAATCAAGGATCTGTTTCCATGCTGTACAACTCCATGACTCTAGTGCTTTGTTCAGAATATGGAGGTTTGCAGAATTTGTTAATTATATACTTATTTGCTTCATTGTATGAAGGTGGTGGCCTTAACACAAGATTTAGTTGTTCTCCTATAAATAGACACAGCAAAGTTTGAGTTGCTGGGTTTAAAGTTGCATGTTTGTACTGCATAACTCTAAAGAAATGCTTATAACATGGTGTAATGATTGGCTCCAGTTTTATCTGTCACCAATTGGCTCTCTGGAGTAGAGCAAAACAGAATAACATTTATGATTAGATTCACATAAATCAACAATACAAATTGTTTTATGTAATTGTACAAAATCATGAATATATTAAACCAGATATTTAATATATTAAATCCTGTATTCTGCTTCCACAGGTGCAAGCATCTTTCACGTCTGTTTTAAAGAAAACTCAATTTTTACTCGACCTAACTGGTTTGTATGTTAGAATAACTGAACGAGGAGGCCATTTGACCGTTATGCATATGTTTGGTGTTTGAGTATACTCCTGTTGCCCTTACATTCCCTCGAGGGATTCACTCGGTCCCAGCTGTCTATACCTGCCATATGCCACAATTACTCTAGTCATCCATATTTCCTGCACTTACCAGCCTTGTCCTTTACACAAGTAGGAGCATACCGCCTCTGGACTCTCGTTATCTAATTTTTGAAGGCTTCTCACTTTCCAACCATCCCTTTGCCCGTGAATAGCCTCTCCCAAGCAACTTTTGAATGTTCCTGCCTAATACAAAGTTGACCTTATTCTACTTTAGAACTTTGACTTTTAGATCAGGTCTGTCCTTCTTCATAACTATTTTAAAACAAATAGAATTATGATTTCTGGCCCCAAGGCGCTCCACCACTGACACCTTAGTCACTACATTGCAAAACATCCGTCCTCGAAGATCCTGACCAATGTTTCACAGAAAGAAATGCACATACAAAAACAGTTGATGACTTGTCTCTATCCATTTAATTTTAGAGATTTTCTTTCTCTCCTGGATCACTTTCAGGCCAGCAAGTACATGCTCGCCAGGTTTTGTTTTCAAAACTTAAAATGTTCTTGAATTCAAGGAGTTTTATTAAGTATTTAACTCCAACATAAACTAAACAAGAACCTTGCTTTGAGAAGTACATAACTAGTTCAACTTACAATAAAGCTTTACAACTGCTCTGTCTCTTCTTTAGATATAACAGCTTTCTGTGATAATCTTAGATGATTAACTGGGAAAGAAGTAACACTCTAACAGCACTACTGATTTCAAGTTATTCACAATCTATCCTGGTTTCTATCTGAACCAACGTACATAAAAATTCAACGGAGAGTGCAGGAAGCTATGCCAGGAGCAGCACCAGGCACACTGAAGATGAGGTATCAACCTGGTGAAGCCACCAAACAGGACTACTTGCAAGCCAAACAGCAAAAGCAGCAAGTGACAGACAGAGCTAAGCGATCCCACAACCAACGGATAAGATCTAAGCTCTGCAGTCCTGCCACGTCCAGGCGTGAATGGTGGTGCAAAACTAAACAACTCACTGGAGGAGGCTCCACAAATATTCCCATTCTCAATGATAGGGCAGCCCAGCACATCAGTGCAAAAGATAAGGCTGAAGCATTCGCAGCAATCTTCAGCCAGAAGTTCCAAATAGATGACCCATCTCTGCCTCCTCCAGTGGTCCCCAACGCTACAGATACCAGTCTTCAGCCAATTCAATTCACTCCCATGTGATATCAAGGAACGGTTGGAGACACTGGATACAGCAAAGGCTACGGGCCCTTGCAACATTCTGGCAATAGTACTGAAGACTTGTGCTCCAGAACTTGCTGCTCCCCTAGCCAAGCTGTTCCAGTACAGTTACAAAACTGGTATCTACCCAACAATGTGGCAAATTGCCCAAGTATGTCCTGTACATAAAAACAAGATAATTCCCAACTGGGCAATTACCGCCTGATCAGTCTACTTGCAATCATCAGTAAAATGATAGAAGGCATCATCAACAGTGCTATCAAGCAGCACCTGCTCAGCGACATCCAGTTTGGGTTCCACCAGGGCCACTCAGCTCCTGACCTCATTACAGCCTTGGTTCAAACATGGACAAAAGAGCTGAATTCCAGAGGTGAGGGGAGAGTGACAGCCCTTGACTCAAAGGCTGCATTCAACCAAGTGTGGCATCAAGGAGCCTTAGCAAAATTTGAATCAATGGGTATCGGGTCAAACACTACGGTGGTTTAGCTCATGCCTGACACATAGGAAGATTATCGTGCTTGCTGGAGGTCAATCATCTCAGCTCCAGGATATCTCTGCAGGAGTTCCTCAGGGTAGTGTCCTTGGCCCAATCATCTTCAGCTGTTTCATCAGTGACCTTCCCTCCATCATAAGGTCAGAAGTGGGGATGTTCGCTGATGATTGCACAATGTTCAGCACCATTCGCGACTCCTCAGACACCGAAGCAGTCCATGTTCCAATGCAACAAGATCTGGACAATATCCAGGCTTAGGCTGACAAGTGGCAAGTAACATTTGCGCCACACAAATGCCAGGCTATGACCATCATAAATAAGAGACAATCTAACCACCACCCCTTGGCATTCAACGGTGTTACCATCAGTGAATCCCCCACTATCAACATCCTGGTTATCATTGACCAGAAACTCAACTGGACTCACCACATAAACACAGCAGCTACAAGAGCATGTCAGAAGTTAGGAATACTGCAGCAAGTAACCCACCTCCTGACTCCCCAAAGCCTGTTCACCATCTTCAAGGCATGAGTCAGGAATGTGATGGAATACTCCCCACTTGCCTGGATGAGTGCAGCCCCAACAACACTCAAGAACCTTGAGACCAATTGGACAATCCATTTGATTGGCATACATCCACAAGCATCCACTCCCTCTGCCACAGACGCTCAGTAGCAGCAGCGTGTACTATGTACAAGATGCACTGCAGAAATTCACCAAAGATCCTCAAACAGCACCTTCCAAACCCACCACCACTTCCAGCTAGAAGGACAAGGGCAGCAAATATATGGGAATGCCACCACCTTCAAGTTCCCCTCCAAGCCACTCCATTCTGACTGCCGCTGGGTCAAAATCCTGGAATTCCCTCCCTAATGGCCAGCGACGCCCATGTCCCAGAAACAAGGGGTAGGGGGCTAGGACATGGGAGAGTTTAGGCCCTAAAATTATTGAATTCAATATTGAGTCCAGAGGACTGCAGGGTCCCCAAGCAGAAAATGAGGTGTTTATAGAATTTATAGAATCCCTACAGTGTGGAAACAGGCCCTTCAGCCCAACAAGTCCACACCGACCCTTGGAGCATCCCATCCAGACCCATCCCCTTATAACCCACCTAAGCTACACATCCCTGAACAGTATGGGCAATTTAGCCGAGCCAATCCACCTAACCTGCACATCTTTGGACTGTGGGAGAAAACCGGAGGACCCGGAGGAAACCCACGCAGACACAGGGCGAATATGCAAACTCTACACAAGACAACTGCTGAGGATGGAATTGAACCCGGGTCCCCAGTGCTGTGAGGCAGCAGTGCTAACCACAGCTCCTGGAAGAAGCTGGAAGAACAACACGGTTGTTCTTCCAGCTTGCACTGAGTTTCGCTGGAACACTGCAGCAAGCCAAAGACAGATGTCGGCCATGGAACAGTGTGGTGTATTAAAGTGGCTTGAGGGTGAGGGCGGAGTTTCAGGAGATGGGTCGGACCTGGTTGAGGGCCCTGTCGACAACGGTGCTGGGGAATCCTCGGTTGAGGAAGAAGGTGGACATTTTGGAGGATCTTGTCAAAGTTGGCGTCATCTGAACATATGAGACGGAGACAAAGGAACTGAGAGAATGGAAGCAGCACCGATGATCGTCCCCCAGACCCGCACAACTCGCTTCTACCTCCTCCCAAAAATCCACAAACAGGACTGTCCGGGCAGACCCATTATTTCAGACTGCTCCTGCCCCACAGAACTCATCTCTTCCTACCTTGACTCAGTCTTCTCTCCCTGGTCCAGTCCCTGCCCGCATACATTCATGATTCCTCTGACGCTTTACACCGGTTTCAAAACTTCCAGTTTGCAGGTTCCAGCTGCCTCCTCTTGACCATGGACGTGCAATTCCTTTACACGTCCATCCCCCACTAGGATGGTCTCAGGGCTCTCCATTTTTTCCTGGAGCAAAGGCCTGAACCATCCCCACCCACCACCACCCTCCTCCGCTTGGCTGAGCTTGTCCTCACCCTCAACAAATTCTCTTTTAACTCCTCTCATTTTCTTCAGGTCAGAGGGGTGGCCATGGGTACCCACACGGGCCACAGTTATGCCTGTCTCTTCATGGGGTATGTGGAACATTCCCTGTTCCAGTCCTATTCCGACCCCCATCCACAATTCTCTCTCCGATACATCAATGATATCATCTATGCTGCTACCCTCTCTCATCTGGAATTGGAAAACTTCATCAATTTCGCCTCCAATTTCCACCCTGCCCTCACTTTCACCTGGTGTATCTCTGACTCCTCCTTTCCCTTCCTTGACATCTGTTTCCATTTCTGGGGATCGACTGGCTACTAATATCCACTATAAACCCACTGACTTCCACAGCTACCTGGACTATACATCCTC